CATGAAGATGCCATATAGAATAATATCAGCTGGCTTGCAGCTTCTCTGAGTACTTAGGCCAGGATTCTTCAATTACCTCTCATCTTGGGATGAGTGCAGTGGAATGAGGTCTCATTTTTCCTGAAGATAATCCAAATGGATCTATGTTTAATTTCTCAGAGACGTGGAGCTGTAATTAACTGTGTAATGTATCTGCTGTCAAATATGTCCAGTGCCAGCACAGAAGATGAAGTTAAAAAACAAAACAAAACAAAAAAAAACCAAAGAAGATCTCATTTCGCGAGTTTCTCTACGTACAGAGCCATAATGCACTGTTGTGTTCTTATTCACTTTCTTATTGTGAAATATTGCTGCTGGATTTTAACCAGAGTTCAAGAAGCATTTGGACAGCACTCTTAGAAATATGATTTGAATTATGGGTGGTCCTGTGTGGAGCCAGGAGATGCAGTATATGATCTTTGTGCACCCCTTCCAACTCAGGATACTTTACAATTGTTTGATCCCCTGGTGTTTGATGTACGAGAGTCCCAGGTTTTGCACAGCAAGGAGAAGTTTGACTGCACAGACTTGTGTTATTTACTGAAATAAAGAACCTGTGCAGCTCTCAGGTAGAAGCATAACAAAGGCTTCATATCTGACTGGGCAGTCAAAGATTGAAAAGCCTCTGAGGGTTGGGCAAAGAAAACAGCAATGTTGATGAAGAGCAAGAAAGTTAACATAATATGATGGCAGGAGAGGTAGGGTTCTTGCCCTACCTGTTGTTGCAGTCAGTAGAGCATGTTGCTTTGTTTAGCCTCTGAGCAGAATGTGCAATACACAATAGCTGCCAATTTGCTGAAAGAGTTGAGGCAGCTCTGAGAGGGGATGTTTGAGATTCATGAGTTGGAGCAATGGCATGGAGTGATTAGGGCTGTGAGGAGAATATGGAATCCTATCGCTTTGAGTTTTTGAGAACAGGCGAGACCAGCCTGTAACACACTGAGTCGGGTAAAGTCAGACTGAGTTAATCCAACCTTTAGATCAAATGATGGACTAGCTGGCATCTCACAATCACCTCCATCTTTATTTTCTCCTTTCTGAAAGGAATAATTCAAACTTGGAGTCTTCAACTTATATGCAACTTTTCCATCTACTCTACCTCCCAAGTAGGGTAATAAAATTGAGACATACTAAATGTGGAACAAAGCACAGCAAATGAGGATATTTCAGATTAGCAGAGGAAACTCAAAAGAACAACCATTGTCTAGTAGAATTTAGGGATTGTATGTTTCACCCTGGCAGTTTAGACTGTGACTGCCAAAATGATCGTTGCACTATGATGTTGCTTACCAGTTTTGATTTGGAAAAGATCTCTAAATAAAAAATCAACAGACTGTGACCTACGTATAAAAGATCAAACAAAATTTCAGCTGATCTGAGTCCAGCTATGCCAGCAGAACTTGGCCAAACCCTGGCTAAGGATATAAGTTTTTTGAACTTCTTAAAGAAGAGAACTCCACTATTCTGTTACTGTTATTCTAAAACAAATAATTTGCTTGTAATTACAGAGATAATGACATTCCAACCACACCTACCATTAGAAAGTTGTAATAAAGAGTGATAAAAACTCCCCTTCCTTGGGCTGCAAAATCAACTCCCACACAGCCTGCAACACTAATATGATTTACTCCTATTTGCTGGTGGAGGATTCTGGTAATAAAATTTAATGTGGGGGAACAAGGCGCATTTAACCAAAGCTGTACACATCTCTAATTCTGTTTACAGCTATAGAGTGCAGTACATTAACATTTAACAATCTGACACTAAATTGGTCTGAAGCTAATAGAGCTGTATTTGTTAAAATTTCAACACTGGGCTGTGTTTTACCAATGACACCAGAAGGAGTAACCAAAATTGTGTGACTCAGCAGATTTCAACCACTGTTAAATGAGGTCTTAAGAATCTTCATGGGAGTTCCTGTCTCTAAAAAAAAAAAAAAAAAAAGGTGGACCACATTCAGCTCTGCTGCTATTCTGCTTAAGCATGATGGAGTTAGGTCGGAGTGAATTCTACCTTGCACTTCCTGTTAGGAGCTAAATCCATTTTATTCTGTATTTCTACTAGGTTATACTCGATGAAAGTTTCTTCTCTGTAGTATTGAATTGCTTTGAAACATAGAAATGCACAATTACTTGCAAGGGGAAGGATAATGTTTTACTTTCTCCAGTAAAATGATCTCATACTAGTAAATCTGGATGAATACTGTGCAAGAAGCAGCTTAGGAGACATCTGCTCATGAAGACAGGTGTTATCCTAAATAGTGTTTCCAGCCTCTCTTGACTCAGCTGTCAGGATTCTGCTGTGATTTACATCTGTCACAAATGGAAAACATTTAAAAATCATGGAATTTTCTGCAGAATGAAAAATTCAGTTCTCACCTACTGAGATTATCTTGTGCCTTACATTTTGACAATGTTATTCGTATCATTCTCTAAAAGCAATAAATCCTACACAGACTGGGAGAAATTATCTCAACAAAAAAGGTAATTTATTTAGCTCAATTAACTATTATTTTGGGGAATTAGATATGAAACATAAACAAGAATATATATATATATTAATACACAAAGAATGGTATTCATTAAAATACTGGGCATAAGCATACAGTAGAGGACTTGTCTGAACAATGGATATAATGGCCACTTGAACATAAAAGCAATGTTTATATACCAAACTTGTGTAGTTTTTTGCAGTTAAGTGACCAAATTAGTAATGTGCTAGGCTTGTAATTCTTTTGGAATTAAAAATACTAATAAGCCCTGTAACTTTGCAATGCTTTCCTTACAGCTCTCCTCTCTGAATATTCCGACTCTGAATGTTACGGAATGTATCCCCTGAATGTTTAAAGATTCTTTAAGCACCAGGTTTTTTTGGTCGAATTGAAAGCTCAAGAGTGAATAAGGAATGATGCCATGTTGTTTTGGTGGGTGATTAAATTCCTGTGGTAATGAGAAGGCAAAACAAACATCCTTGACAGCTCATGAACCCAAACATAAAAAATGCAAATAATTGCTAGCAATAAACCTATTAATAAAAGCTGGCTTTAGTTTGGAAAGAACCACTTCAATGAGAAGCCAGGGGTGGGATTAGTACTGTACACAAAGGCCAGCCTGACAAATCTTGAATTCTTCTCTTATGAGAGAAGTTTTCAACTAGCATGGAAACAGGTGGCTGCATTTCACATTTACTCAATCTGGCTACAAGGTAACAGTTTATGTATGAAATGTAATCTCTATCCCCATTCAAGAAAAGTCTAAAAGCAGTTAATATCATGCAGTTAAAGCAGTTAATGTCATCCAAAGACTGCTCTTCTCTGTGACATGTTCCTCCCTGAAGTGCTGCTATTGCCCTCTGTTCCCAAGTGCTAACAGCAGCATGAGGGCTCCCAGCTGTGCTCTGAGCCCTGGCATGAACTTACTGTGTCACTGTGAAGACCTGACCTATGAAGGAAGAAGATACCTGGATAAACTTGATTAAATTTCAAAGCACGTGGCCCAACAGTGCTACTCAAAAACCCACAAGTTGCTGAATGAATGCCCATCAGGAGGCTGCCTCTGCCTTATGTATGCCTGGAGAGCGCCTGGCATATGCTGAACGTTACACATCCAGGCCTGAGAGTGGGCTAAAGAACCCATGCTTTTATGTCCCTGTTAACTCTGCAGTTACTCAAGGATTAAAGCTTCCAACAGCAGAAAGGAGCTGGGTGTTCAACCCCAACCATGAGTGTAGACAGAGCATTGCAAATTCAGAAGCTTGAAAACACCAGTCCTTTCATGACTGGCATGCCAGAGAGTAACCAAATTTCATCAGTGGATATCACAGGAAAAGGAAGAATCCCTTTCAGCTAGAAAGAGGGGAAGCAAGAAGAGCATTTGTGCAGCCTAGTTTCCTACCTCCCAAGCCATTGCCTTTCCAGAGAAACAACTCCAAGGTAAGTAAGCAGGGTATTACAGAGTTTGCTCTGTGCTAAAGGAGATGATCTGTGATTTTCCTTTCACAGCAGCAGCTTGCTAATATGCCACAGGAGGCAACTTTTGCAGGTTTAGGAGCACCAGCCTACAGGAAGGCCAAAACCAGTGTCCTGGTTCTCGGGAAGTTTCATACTATCAGCTTTTTCCTATTCTCAACCAGAACTATAAAAGCATCAAATCCTGGAAAATATTCCCAAACTATAAATATTTTTCCTCAGATTGGTGTGGTTTAACAAAGAATGTTTCCTTTGGATTATTTTGAAGTGTTCGATTTGAAGTACATAAGAAGGGTACATAGAAAGGGAAGTTGGAAATACAGAAACCAAAATTTTGATAACTACTATGAGCTGGGGGAAGGCAGAAAAAGTAATCCTAGATATCCATTTTCTGTGGAAAAAAAAATCTCAGTTTTACTGAATTAATATTTTTCTGATAGGACGAACAGCAAAAATTTGATGAACTTCTGGTCAGTGGTCTTTCTTTGGTGGAGGAAGCTGATGTGCTCTGATCCTGCTGCTGGTATTTCTGAGGTGGCTCAGATGTCCATGTTTGCAGCTAGACTTGTCACATTAATGCCAAAGAAGGAATGAAGATTAGCACTGAAAATGTCCAAGTGGAGCTTCATTCTCCTTAAAATGGAGGGGGCAAACACTGCAAGGGTGTCTCTGGGATGTCACTTGTCAATCAGCTGCTTATTCTGTGATTACTTCCAACTACGTTTTGTTTAAAAGTCATATAGAAATACAAAAGCACATGAATGTCAATAAAAAAATATGGACATTTGTATGGTCTTTATAAATAAACAGCACAGCAAGAATTAAATAGAACACAAAGGACAGTTACACAGGCATGAACTGTTACAGCTTGTTCTCCTCAAAGAGTATCTGTGCGTAGACTGTTGTACTGGGAATGCCTTTGGCCTCCTGAATGGGCTTCATAAGTTCAAGTTCAGCATATGTTAAATTCTCTTCAGCAATTTTTGGCTAGGAGACAAACAACAAATTAGTTATAATTCCATTATCACTGAATGTAAAAATCACTTTAAGTATCCAATTGAATAGAGTGTACTTCTTCTCTCAAGCGTGCTTGTTCTACTCTGCTGCCAACAAATTTACTCTGTACTAAATGTAGCTAATAGAGGAAATAAAAGTAACTTTTGTGCCTCACCAGTTATAGCCACAAACAAAGGAGTTGCTTTCAGGTTGTATCTGAGCTTTGGATTTCAACCCAGCTCCAGTTTGTCCATGGAAAGTTAGTCTGTGTTCCTCAGAAAAGGGTTAAGTGCAAAGACTCTGGTGTTCTCATGTTGAAGACCGAGAAGGACCATAAAAAAAAGCAGTTTGTTGCAGTCACAAAACTATACCTCATAGGAAAGTATCTCTGAGACCAGGAAAGGCTCTCCAGCTGCAAACTGAAAACTGACTCAAAATTCAGAAAGTTTCCCCCATTCAAGCATTATAAGGGGGGAAAAAAACATACACAAAAAAATGTTTTCCCAAATCAGGATTCCTTTGCATTTTGGTTACTGCTGTTTTGTCCTTTCTGACTTAATACACGATTCCTGTTTCCTTTAGAAGTGTTTGAATAATTACTATATTATCTTCTGACTAAGATAATATTCAAAATAAATATTGAATATTCTCTGAAACCAGTCCCCCTGCTCCCTCACTTCCTGTCTTTTGTGCTTTCCTGGAATCCTTTCATTGTGCCCTGACAGTTGCTCGCACTCTTTGTTTCAGATTGTTTCCCTCTGGGTGGATCAGCTTACGGTTTTCCTGCATGAATTTAATCTTAATTCTCCTCTGTAGATCTGATACTGAAATACTCTGTGCAGCTGCTATTGCAAGTGCTATTGCTGCAGTCAGCTGATCTGTGCGTGTGAGTAAAGGCCTTCTATACGATTCTAATATTTGCACTTGGTTCTTCATATGATCTTCCCCTACCTTGCAAGGGTAGCCTTACTTGATCTCAACTTCTGCTTCTTATTTGCTACTGAATGCTTCACTACTGACTTCACAAAATTTCCTCCTTTCATGGATTTTTCTGGTGCAATAATATAAAAGAACATTGTATGGACTGCAACTGGATCTCATAAATAGCACAGAAAGGAAGCCTTTTTGATCACATATTGGGAGTGACTTAAAAGGTCAGAAAGGCATCCATGCTATGGGTTAAAGAGTTAAAAAAGCTCTTAGTCATCTGCTGTGATTAATTACATTTCTCCTCCTTCTGGCATGAAAGTATCTAACCTCAGGGTTAGATAGGCAATTGTTTTTGCCTTTTTTTGTTTAGTATTCCTTTACAGACCTCAAAACTATACCTGCCTGTCTATTCAGTTGAAAGTGAGCTAGGTTGATGGTGGACATCACAGTAACTCCTGCAAACGCTGAAGGTTTTGTTCTTGGTGTAGCTTAGTAGATCTAGCCTCTGTTTGAAGTTACTGGGAGTTTTGCTGTTGGCTTTAGTGGGAGTCACCTCTGACCCTGAATAGAATGATATGTTGCAAACACTGAAGGTTCCTAAAAAAGAATCTGATAAAACATTACAAACAAGCTGTTGTTCATTGTTAGATTAAAACTCCACTTTTCCAAAGACCGATCCAATACATTTTTGAAGTGGAAATGTTTTCATTGTGCTGTAGAAATAAGTTGCTGAGGGCATACTAAATCTGTATATGCTTTCCCCTTTCGTTGTTTAATTGCATTTTATGTTATGTTTCCATTTAGAAAATGCAGCATGTCCTAAAATAGCCACATCAACGCCCAACTCATGTAAATTTCAGAACTAAGATTTATGAAATCATATTGTCCAGGTGTTTTATTGTATTATCTCAAAATTGCATTGTTTTCCAGTGTAGATTATCTCTTTATTCTTACTTTATTCTATTATGTTTGGATATGAAAAATAACACTAGATTCCCCAAAACAGGTCATTGGGCAGTAGTGGCTGATGTGTTGTTTTCATACATTTTTATGATGTTCCTATAGTAAACATAATTTAATAAAGCCAAAACACACTAAATAAATAATTACATCTAGAAAAGCAATAAAACCAAATAAAATTAGTACTTTCATAAGTGGAAAAGGTACTTCAATTACTGCTACAAGGAACAGCACACCATAAAATGTGTAGAATAATTTCCCTTATGCATATTTCTAGTATGTAATAATTTGATTGAAAATATGAGGAAACACACAGGAGGTTCAAAATTGTGAAGTGTATAGAGTTTTCAGCAAAGGATGTGTAATAACTGCACATGGAAGCCAACGCTACTTTAGAGTACCTATGGTAGCCAGGGTTGTTTCTCCACGCGTTCTTCCATACTTCATTTATCAACCACATATTTAATTCAATTTTGGTGGTTTGTTTGTCCAAACACAATTATTTTCTTTTGAGCAGGTAGAAAAAGAAAACTAATTCTGTGATTTCATCTCTCATTTGGCAATGTAAGCCTGGAATCCTGCCACCCCCTCCTTTTTGGAACAACAGTGTGACTTTCAGTAACTGATGTTTGAAGTGGGACTGACATTTGGACAGAAGAGCAAGAGGCAGGGAATGACTGACTGTTTACCTCTTTCTTTCCATCCTGGCTCTCCACCTACGAAGTCATTGAGATTTCTATGGCTACAATGTCTTTTTTTCCTGAAATATTACATTTTTGTTCTAAAATTATATTGAAATTATTTCTTTAAATAGAGATCTGTTCCAAAGTGACATTTCTAGATGCGACCTTTATCTTGTTCATCTGTTTTGTTCTTGTCTTGGAATCACACCCTTTGCAGAAATACGTTAGGAAGAGAGTCATCATTTTCCAGTGTATCCTCTAGCAAATACAAAATCACTTCCAGTTTTAATTTTTATTTATTTCAGTCACAGCTCTTTCTTTGGGCAACTATTTGAAAGAGTTCAGTTATAGGAACATTTTTTCAAAAAGACAACCTGTGAAGTCCTACACGTAACTATTTAAAAAAAGCTACAGTATGTGTATGCACAATTTTGTTCATTGAGTTTGTCCAGCACAAAAATGCATAGAAAAAACCTTTATGAGTTGAGATTTTAATGAAAATTACTCTGATTATGTCCTGATTATGACCAGATAGGTCAATTTTGTTCTTCTAAAGCTCAGCTGGGTTGTTTAATGGCAGCATCAAAGATGTTTACTGTGAGCAATGTCAGACTGAATTTTTTAAGTTTTAACTAAGACTACTTCTACTCAAATTCAGAAATATGTATAGAGAAAACAAGCAAATACTAACCTCGTAATTTTAACTTGTCTGGAAAACAAGTCTGGTGGGTTGGAACTAGGTGATATTTGAGGTCCCTTCCAATCTAAGCTTATTCTATGATTCTGTGAAAAACAACTGCTGCCAGCTTGCACTTAGAGCCTCACTGTTTCATCACCTTATTGGTCATTGTGAAAACAGCAAAACAAATCATAGATTGTAAGTTTCTAATTTAAAAAATAATATTGATACCCTATTGATTCTAGTTTACAACAAAAGTAAGCAGGCAAGGTCTCACTTCCCTATTCACTAGTCTTAAGTGCATCATTGACTACTGCTTCAGACATTTGCCTTAGAATCCTGTCTCCACATAAACGCATGTGAAGGACTTGTTTGGGATGTGATGCAGAATGAATTTAACAAGAGATGAGGTTAAGAAAATTTTGCTTATTGATCAAATTGAATTATCACCGAACAGAGGCGGACTTAAAAAATGACTTCTACAGACCTTTGTGAGAAGCTGAAGCTAGATCTGTGAGTTGAATTATCTCTCAGAAATGCAACTGCTGGCCAGTAGGAGTTCTGCAGTATCTAGGGAGCCATTGTGCTCTCTGTGCCAAGGCCCAGAAATCTGACACTGGAAAATCGTGGAGTGGGAAGTATGTCTTTTAGTGGCACTATCAAATTAAAAAAATGATGGCTTCTTTCCACTAAGATGCCTGGTTTTTAATCTCAAGAAGCGGCTTTGTCACTGGAAACAACATCCACAATAATTTGTGAGCCCTCTTACAGCACCACATATAAATTTTGCTTTTGAATCCCACAGAAGTTATGATAACAAAGTCAGAAACAAAGATGATTCACTAAGTTCTATTGAAACATTTATTTTAAAGAAACAGAATCCCATAGACATAAAGCTAGTGGTATCTATAGGGAGATAGTTCATCTTTCTTCATTAATAGAGTTAATGTACCTGGCAGAGGTTTGTCCTGACTGTTTTAACAGCTTTTGCAGAAGAGTCTTTCCCTTTGCTAATACTTTATGCCACATATTATTTTGCTGTATGTGTTATACAGAGTTATTTCTTGATTCCGAACACTGCTAGAGATCAGGCTGATTTCTCTTAGTCCTTCAAAAAGGCTGAAGGATTTTTCTGGTGAGACATGATTAGTGTTCCAAAGGTGTTATCACATAAAAATCATCCACTGTAGGATTTTGTAAATACACAAATCTCAGCACAATTCCAGCAAGAGTTTTTCTGTATTTACATAACCTGTTCTTTCTTAGGGTAAAGGTAGCAATGTGGGACCTGAATGTGAAAGTAGACATAACTCAACAGTTTTGAATATGACTTGTTCTGAGTTTCAAACTGACAATATAAATGATATTCATGAAGAAATGGACAACTCACACCTTAATGAGAGACAGCTGAAGAGACATCATCTGGCAGAGAAATAAATTATGTGGACTGGATGGAAATATTCAAGGATCATAGGGAGTTGAGGAAAAAAAAATTCATTTTTTCTTTGTATATCATACACAATGTTACTTGAAGTCTGTGGAGATAAATAATACCTTGAGAAACTGGGATCTTAAATCACCGACTATTACATGTTGTGGAGGAAACAACCTCTAGCAGAGGATGGCTTTTAATTTAAAATCATGCACGAGGAAGAGAGACATGATAGTTCTCTGATCCGGAGTCCTAGAGGTTACTGAGCAGTATTTCATTTGCCTTTTGTTTAAGAAAGAAAAGATCATGTTGAGACTTATCAGCAGTTCTACTTGTTGCACAAAAAATGATGAGCCCATTTTTCCTAGCTGGCATGCTGAACACAGCATAAGACTGGTTTTGAATAATGTACTGCCTAATTGTAAGATGAAAAAGAGGGGAGGAAAAAAATCTGTTAATCGTGCATAATAACCTTGCACTGGGAAAATTTGTTCCTGTATTCCTGTGAGGCTGAAGTTGTAGGATAACAGCTTGGAGCATCATTTAGAATGCACAAATTCGTCTGCATGCAAAAAGCAAAAGGAGCTTCTCTATGTATGTTTCAGTGCTCCCTGAAGCAATTCTGAGACTGCAGATCATGCACTTGCACAGCTACACCCTTTCGCAAAAGGACACCAAAGTCACCGCTTTAGATATGCAGTGGGTCTGGTTGGTTAATTGTACAGTGGCAAACATACTCCTGAAACCTAAAAGTCAAAATGATTTTTCAGGTGAAGGAACATTCAGCTTCTGGGCAGCTCTAGGAGCGCCTTTCTTCATTCCTTGATTTGGAATTATACACATATATAGAACACTGAGCTAAATGCGAAATAAGCTTAATTTGGCTGAACACATGTGGACAGTGAGAGCGAAATGTGGCCTTCTCAGTTCCACAGGAGTCAAACATGAGTTCGTGTTCAAAACAACTCCCTTCTGCCTTGCAGACACAGCAGAATCAGGACAGCTGTGCCTGGATGAGTTGCTAGCAAACGGCAGGCTTTCAGACACACTGCTCACTGCAGAGTCAGCGCTTTCTGTGCAGGGACTGTCCTGACATGCACTGACTGGCATGCAGCACACTGTCCAGCACTTAGCCTGCAATGGAAAATAAGGATGGGATTTTTCAAAGCTGGGAAAAAAAAAAATCTGAGCTTCCCATTTGATTTGGCCCCTGCCAGGATAAACAATGCTGTCTGCACTATATGGGCTGTAGATAGAGGTGCTTCTTACAGATAGCTCAAATACAGTTACTGGAAGCTCTCTGCTTTAGAATACAAACAGGACCAATATGTGTCCTGTGATTAACAGAACTCAGATGCCCTCCAGTAACAACTTATCAACGCGGGAGCAGTAGAAGCCAACTCCTATGGACCGTGTGCTTTACATTTATAGGGTATCGAAGGAACTAGGACCAGAGGCATCATTTGTAACATGGATTCATGTGTTTACAAAGTGGGATGACAATCTGACTCGTCAGTGGCAGAATCAGGAATATTTCCTGGATTCTGCCTTACCTGCACAGACTTTCCTTTCCTTATAATTTAATATAAAGGAGATGAAGTCAGTAAAATTTTTACTCAAGTTTGCAGTATTTGGTATAACTTGAAACCAAGTTCTTTCCATTAGCTCCAGTGAATCTCACAACAACTCCTATGTTTGGTGGTGCAAATGTTTGTGAAAACCTTTCCATTTCTATGTTCAGCACCTGAAACTCTTGGACTATAACAACTAACCTCTAGGAGGCAATGAAACGTTTACCAAAAAATTTGGTTGAAGAAGTACAAGATTTGTAGCTACCAACTCAAAGGGCTATGTACTTAAGGCTGTAGCTGAATCTTCCTTAGAGAGAAGAATTTGTGGGCCTCTAGAATTTTCTTCTTCCTAATGACTCTCTGGGCTTCTTGCATGCTATAAAACCCATCCCTTTTTGCAGTTCATCATCTCTATTTCCTCTGATCTGTACACATTTCTCACTGATCTTAATAGAGAATGACACTGATGGGGAATGTTTTTGCAACAAGGGGAGCATAGAATTGTTGTTCTGGCTAAAGCAAAAGCAATATGACATAAGCAGAGTTTTTAAAAAGCTTTACTCAAAGCTGTGCAATTGAACATGATATTAGGTTTTCTCTTTTTGTTTTTAATTTTCATTGAGATTATGTCCATATTTTATCCAGGTTATTGTATTCTTGTAAAATTATACTGCAATCCACTCTAGCATGTTAACAACAAAAGAAATTTGCTGGTTTATTATAAACATCTTTCAAGAAACCAAAAGCACATGTCCTCTGGAAATAATTCTGCCAGTATTTAGGTTATTACAAAATTTTTCCCAAAACACTGGAATTATTTTGTAATGTTTCCTTATACTCAAGCTTGTTTGCTTAGATTTTCTGGAATATTCTCCTGGTGTGGTACTTCCTTGGGCTGCACAGGGAAGCTGCAAGAAGAAGCCCTGAAACCTCCACAGTTTGAGTCTCTCATTCCAGCTCTGTGCCATCTGTGGAAAAAAGGCCCACTGCTGACACCAGCTGTGCAATCATTACAGCTGGAAGGAAAGCAATCTCTTATCCTGCAGAATTTTGGCAGGATGGCAATTTTTTTTTCACCCCAAAGGGGATGGAAAGTTTAAAATCTGAGAGATTTTTGAGGATTAAAAAAATGCCTTGTGCCAAGGTAGCCAGGCTGTGCCCTGACCATGCATAAAAGGGCAGGGAAAATTCTGTGACAATTGGTGGGAAGGCTCCCAATCCTCACCTGAAAGTGAGCTCATTGCAGAGGCATTTGGGTTACTCACACAACATAACTTTAGGCACCCACATCCACCCAACTGCTGAAGTCAGGGAGTTAATCACCCTCTCCATTGCCAGCAAAGGGAGAAAGTATCCCCAAAAATGTAGAGCTAGGCTCCTGCTCCAACTCACCTCAGTCTATTGAGTCCATAGGGAGCCCTGCAGAGGCCTGGCCATAGATGCAGTTGAAATAACTGCTATAAAGCTGTCTCTGCTACCCCAGCTGTCTGGGCCAGGTGCACCTGCTCATCTAGCTGGTTTGGCTAGCAAATATCCACAGGTGTTTATAAACAGAAAGTCACGCCCACTAGAAAGCAGATCTAAGATTTCTTCTACCTTATTACGAGCTGCAAATATACATTTCATCCCTTCAGCTATTGCTGACTTACACCACTATGGGGCAGAATCCAGTCCCCCTCTTTCTGACTTGAAAAGTCACGAAGGCAGCACAACTATTATCTGCTGAAAAGAGACGTTCTCCCGAGCACCAGCTCCCAGCAGCACGTGAGAATCAAGCAAGTTTCATTTAAGAACAAGCTAAATCTGTAGGCACAACAACTGCAAGAAAGTGGGAAAATATAATCCAGTGTAACCTAGTGCTCAAAATGAAAAGAGCCAAGATAATTCATCACTTTACAAAGTCATAGAATTACAGAATGTTTGGGTTGGAAGGAATATTAAAGATCATCCAGCCATGGGTTTAGTGCTCCCCACCAGGTCAGGGCCCAGCTTTGAACGTCTCCAGGGATGGGACATCCATAGCTTTCCAGGCAGCAGTGCCAGTAAGTGTTACTGTATTAAAAAAAAAAAAAAAAAAAAACATTTTTGTGATTTTTAAGCCAACTTGCTTTTTCTGAACCTGGAGTTCTGGCAACATTGCAGCAATCACATTGAGAGAAAAATATGGAGAAAATGTCACAGAAAATTACTTACCAGGATCAATTTTCTTTGAGGTTTCAAGAGCTTGGGCTTAGGAATATTAGGTATTGGAGCTGTGGAAATAAATATTAAGGGGTCATTTCAAGTTACTGTAATTCACTGTCATTTTTTAGCATATGCATTAACAATTTATAAATCAGAGATGTATAGTGGATTGGGAGTAAATAAATACCTGTACTTATATTAGTGTAAGAGCTATATTTCAGATAACTTACTTTACTATGAAGCACTGGGCTTATGAATTGGGAAAAAAATGTAAGATTCAAAGATCTGATATGCAAAAGATGCTGTTTGTATGCAGAAGCCAGGGTCAACACAGCTCTTGAGAGCTGGTCACTTGTGATATAATACACAGAAATCCTCCAGTTCCTTTCCCTCCCTACTGCTGGCAGAGCCCTGTCACCACAAGCACAACTCTCCCTCCTTGGTATGCCCAGTTTTGAACTCTCTCTGCATCTCCATTCTCATACCTTTTTCTGGGATGGCTGGTGGCAGCTCTGCTTTCTCTTTCCTTTTCTTCACCTTCTTGGGCTGCAGAGGGGACAAGCTCGTCACACTGGTCACAGTCTCCCCTGAGCTGCAATGCAGAGGGACAAGTGAAGGCAGTTCAGGGACAAATAGTGCCAGTGCGTTCATGCAAGAAGACATGACTGCCTTTCACTTGTGCAAGTCTCAACCAAACAACTTGGATTCTGACCTGGGGATATACTGAAAAGCCTCTGAGAGGGCATTGCAATTTCTTGCATTTCTTCAGCCTTGAAGTTGGAAAAGGCCACTAAGATCATCTAGTCCAAGTATCAAATGTATGTCCCAAAGTCTGAGACAATAGAACCCTGCTTTGAATATTGAGGGGCTTGGATACGCAGTCAGGTTGCAATTATTTGATTCTGTCACCACATGCTAGCTTGCAACTAATGTGAAACAGAATCATAGAACTGTTAGAGTCAGAAAGGACCCCACCTGGTCCAACTCCTGTGCAATTAACAGGGACACAGTGAGATCAGTTGTTCAAAGTCCCATCCAGCCTGACCTTGGATGTCTCCAGGGATGGGGCTTGGTCTACCATCTCTCTGGGCAACCTGTGCTAATACCTCACCACTATTATTGTAAAAGCTTTCTTCCTTATATCCAAGAAGTTATCTAAAATAATGGTAGTGATGCAGGATGGCTGTGGGGATGGTCCTGGCCTGTGCTGGTGTATTACACCACGCAGTGGGACCCTGTCAGGTTCTCCACAGCAATAATACAGACAGTATTGAATTCTCTGAATTTTAAGTCATTTGTCCCAAGATGCTGTTCCTCTCCAGGTTCTTTTGCATAATGAAACATTCTCTTTTTATTAATAGAATTAAATATTCAAACAGGGCCAAAGTCTTAATGAAAGTTGGGATGTCTCATCTATTGCCCACACAAGAATAACAAAATAACAGGCATTACAATTCTGCACAGCTGTAAATCCAAATGAATATCACTATCATTGGTGAAATCACTCTGGATTTATGCTTGTGTCAATTAAAAAGCCTCTGGTTTGCTGATTTTGCTGAATTCTGTTCCTTGTATTCACTCTAAAGCATAAGTTTTCTTCCAAATTTCTTAAAAAAATATTTAAGAAGTAAAATATTTTCATAACTTATAAACAAATCACATCAATTATGTAAACTGAGGGTTGCATTAAAGTAATTTTAAAGTCTGCCTGCATAACTGTGAACCTATCCCACAACAACCATTTGTTTCTCTATTAAAATCAAGATGTTAAATTGTTTTAAACCAGCAGCAAATGAAGCTGTCCTGCCCAGCTCCATTGCTCAAACACAGCAAACTGCAAAGGACAGAGAGCATCAAAATGGGGAGAGAAGTCACTTTTTGTTTGGTGTTTTTGTTCATTAAGGCAGACGTACAGCTTAAAGATACTACTGTTCTAATATTGCTGCTTTTAGCACAATATATGAAAAGGCTCAGTGTCACTTCATTGCATTCGTTATTCCTGTTTGGCTGCTGAAAATGTGAAGCTACAGAATAATGTATTTATGGCCTATACTTTTCTTGTAAGTGCCAGGTCTGTACAGGGTTAACTGATTCTGAAAGAGACAGTAATTGTGCTTGCTGTCTCCTAACTGAGCTCCTCGAGCCAAACAAGGAGGCTAAGAAAAGACTCCTTGGCTCTGAAACACTGTGTCTTTGTGAACTTGTCTTGTTCTGCCTTAAGGAAGAAAGTTACTTTTTATCTCCAGCTCCTTCTCTGGCCTCCCAGCTTCTATTTCAACAGTCACCTGCGTTTCTTGAAGGATCTAATGAGCTTTTAGAGTGAGAAAGAGACAGGAGTTTGGGGAGAAGAAAGCCTGTGGAAGGTTGCTGAGAGCTGTGTCACCAGGACTGTGATTTCCTTGGAGGTTGTGGCTGGTAATTGTGGAGTACACTATGTCAAGAGCTGGAAAACTGCTCCCGTTTGGTGCCTTGCTACCCTTAAGATGTGGGACTACTCCTCTGGCTGTCTTGGTCAGCTATTCCCTCTTGTCAACGATCTGACAAGGGTTATCATAGAGGTTGGAAAGGACCACTAAGGCCATCTCATCCAACCATGAATTTGTCACCTCCATGCCCACTAAACATGTCCCTCAGTGCCTCTTCTTGGGCACCTCCAGGGACGGCGACTCCACCACCTCCCTGGGCAGCACAGACGGCTGTGTGGGAAGGTGCCTGGGAGTTGGTTACTTGGTTCTGGTTCAGTGTGGCAGAACTTGCTCCTACACTGTCAGATTGGTGGTGTGGGACCAAGGCACTGGGATGAATGGCTTTTTGTACCTTGAATTGTCTCTGGAAGAGCAGTGGCAGAAGGACTGGAGGAGAGCTCAGGCCAAAACAAATAAATAAAGGGCAGGAAAAAAAATCCCATTTTCTAAGTTACACCTCCTGAGGGTTTCTTTATCTGAACACTGGCAAAATGATCCAATAACAAGGCAGATAATAAGAAGGAGGATATTTAAAGAAAGAGGATATTTAAAGAAAACCTCAGAAAATAGAATTAAGTGGTTTGGAAAACCCAAAATAACCATGCTTTTTATTTAGTTTTTTATTTTTAAAATGTGGGAAATAAATGGGTTTGGGTTAACTCATTTTTTTCCCTTAATTTGTTATTGGTCAAACAGTAAGCCAAAGCCTAAACATTTGCTTTGTTCCACTCAGGAAATCTGGATTTAATTGTCTTTTCTGCTGAGGCTATTTTGTGAGTCCTGGGGCTCACATCACTTAGCTTCAGTTTACAATTAAGTGAAGCTATCATTATGATATCAAAACATGAAATATTTTAAGATGCTTACGTATTACTGCAGCAGGAGTGCTGACAGTTCTTAGACACCAGACTAGTCGTGTAATTTTGAAACTGGATTCTCACTGCTCTCACAACTTGAAATATTGCTAGGGGAGTTGGAGCTAAGCCTCTCTAGTCTAGGCTGAACCCTTTTGACTGGCAGGAATCTCATGCAAATATGTTCATCAGTTTGACCTGGGTTCTAAGTCTGAATGTTTTAAATTGTTAAAATTGTTTAAATATTTGGAATTAAGTTCCAAGACATGCTAGCAAATACTTCTAGAGAATAGCAGGTGAAGTTCTACCTGCAGTGCAGATAGATGAGGCTATGTTACACCTCTCATATCCTCTATCACTTCAAATTGTCTGTGAACTTCTAAACTGTTACTGCCTGGCCTTAGCACTGAAGGTGCACTGGTGGCACCTAGCTAGAATTGAGCAGTGCCCAATGCCAGCTCACACAACTGCATCTCTTTCCTTTCAGTTGGTTTACCTACAGCAGTGACACATCTGGATGAGCCATAATACGAGATCTGCTTGGAATTCAGGTTTTGTGATGCCTTGAAGTGCACCCTTGGCTAGGAACAAATGGAAACAAATGTTTTGCATTAGATATGGATCATAGTGTGTCTAATACATTTACAAATTTAGGTACAAGAACAGTCCTAATGTGTTTAAAGAAATTGATGGTTCATGTTTGGAGTAGAGAATGAAAAATAAAAGGTAATAAGAGTGAAACAGAACAAAAATCGTGATACTGATAACACATTCATAGGCACTTAATTTCAAAGCCCTGAAGTCAGCACACTTCTAGGGAGAAATGAAAACTGCTGAGCTGTCTGTACATTTTTGGTGTGGTGCAATGGCTGGTTAGGGTCATAGAACAAAGATCTTCAATGAATAACATGAAAGCTTCAGTTTGTACTGACCTCTCCTGAACTCTCTGTAGCCTTTTTTTGACTTTGCTTACATCTGAGTGTTGGTTAGATTGAATAAAGCCATTATCTCATGAGACAGCACTAAAAATTACCCCAGTTGAGGATCTAGGACATGCTATACTTGGCACAGAATCAGTTTGCTAAAAAGATACTATGAGAAATAGCGTCTGTGATACCAAGAGATTCTGGATTTAAACTATAATGCTAGGAACACGTTTTTTGTCACTGAAAACTGGGAAACAGCTATTCTTTCCCATTATTATGAGGCATCACTCTTTAATCTTTTTTGTTTGTAAAAAAATATTTGTCATCTTTCTTTTACTGCTGGTCCAGCACAGTTTATATCTTAAGAAGCTCATACGTTGGAAATCAGTTTTATAGCACCGTGCAATTGAAAACTTGGCAGTCAGTACTATTTAAAGTGATTAATGACTGCAACAGAAATAGAGTTTTCCCATCCCTTGGAGTCTTCAGCTGGGAACAGAGTGTGGGCCTAGAAAATCTGATTTGAGCCCCAGTCCAAGTTATGTATGCAGGATTTATTTGGTCACATTGTGGTATGCTTTGTGTAGGAGGATGGCTTAAGCCATTGACATCTGGTGAGGTGCTGAGAAACCCTGGAAGGCCATACAGGATCAAAGCAGGCTTCTGCAAAAGGCAATTCAAACTGTAAAGGAAAAGCTTTCCACTAAAGCAGACACTTTAGAAAGCTTTACTCATGGAAGAAAAGAATCATAGAACGGCTTAGGTTGGAAGAGGCCTTAAAGCTCCCATCACCTGCTTTGGGTAGAGTTGACACACAGCAAAACCAAGAAGGAACTGGTGCCTTGGTTATTGTAAAGAGAACAGTAATCTCTTACCTGTTCTGGGGGCATTTCACCAGGTAATGCTTCACTGTTAAAGAAAAGAAAGAGAGAAAATGTGGCTTCCCACCAACACAGTTTGTAAGTTACAAATGGACACTGCAGGTAGACCAGTGCTCCTGGGACTGCAGAGGTGTCAAGTGGTCACAGTGGGAGAGCAGCCAATCAGCACAATATATAGCGGATTAAAGCGCTGTCTGTCTCAAAGCTGTGTTTGGGAGAGGTAAATGTATCAAATAACAGAAACAATCTGCTGTGGAAGTACTGGGCAGCTCTCATTCCAGTGGTCAGCCCAGCCAAGGGACGGCTTGCTTAGGAAAAGCACAGCAGGCCAGTAATTTTACTTTGAAGACTTCCCTTATGGTGCCTCTATTTATTTCCAGAAGCCCGAAATAAACCATTCTGCCACAGGAGCCACTGCCATTCATAATGCAGGCTAAACTGCAGCCTCAGGCATACAGGGGTTGCCTCCTAGGATCGAACTGGAGGTCTAGACCAGCCAGACCCACCTCTGACAGCTCATGTGTGTGAACTGCCTAAATCCATCTGCTTCATACTGCTTTGAATCAGTAGCCTGGAGCAAGGGCAGCTTCCCTCCTGCAGCCTTTCAGGAGCCAGGGTTATTGAGATGCTCTTCTGTGGCTTTGTGGTTTCTGTGCTCTGCCCAAGCTGGGTCATATGCTAAGCACAGAGAAAGGCAGGCAGGAGGAGAGCCTCTGGTTCTGCTGGTTAACCTGGGCCAACTTATTTCTCAGAAAGAAAAAAAGGGTGCACCCTGTGTAATGGAACATAGACATACACAAACACTGTCTCTTAATTTTTTCAATTCTTACCAAATTACTCTCTTCTGTGTACAGAATTTTTCACACTTTCCCTTACCTCAATTGTTCTATCCTAAGGAAGCTGCATAGTCCCTTCTGGGCTGTATTTCAGACCTAAAGGAAAGGGGAACTGAGAGCACTGAGAACTGGGGCTAACACACCAGAGCCAAGTCTCTGTATCTAGGCTAGCTAAGGCAGGATTTCCATCTATCTCTGCTATCTTCTTCAGGTGTACAGTTAGGACAGTAGGTCTGATCCATCAAGAGATACCATTTACACTGTTGGAATGCATTTGACAATTGCTAGGTATGCATGACTTTATTCTGTCCTAGAGCAAAAGCTCTCACCTTTTGATCCAAGGACTGTGAAGAGCAGACTTCTACCAAAGCCCAAGGGCTGTCTGCCTGGGGTAGGTGATTATTTTTGTGATGTTGGGACTGAGAAACTGTGAGGAACTTGGAGAGAAGGTGGGGGGAGAGTGGAGGAGAACTGTAGGTGTGTTCATGCATTGTTTCAGGTGTGTTCCCCTGAGAGAGTGACTGGAGACAGTCAGAGAGAAGCCCTAATGGAAATACACCCAGCAGGTGGGGCAAGGAGGTAGTTTGGTTGTCCTAGGCCTCTGACATAGTTTTGAGGAAAACTGCAGAGCCAGGCTTCTCTTGAAAGAGGAGGAAGGTGATGGAAGCCATTGCTTCACTATGTTGGAGGAAGATGGAGGTACAGAGTGACAAGGATGGAAAGAAGGTAAGGTAACACTTTTTAAGGAGAGATGCCTTATTCTAACTGTCTGAATGAGACAGCACTGCTGTTTTCATTCTCTGCTGCTTAATGCTCTGGAAAATATCTGACCAGGTAGCCCTGGGTGAAAGGCTATATTATATGTATGTATCTATATATGTTGAATACTGAGTGTGTATATATATATACATATATTTGCTATATATATAGGTGTTGAATACTGAGTCCATATCTGCTAAATTTTATTGTTACATTTCCATTGGAACCACATTTAATGCTGCCAGTGTTTTCTGGACAGTGCTCAAAATCTAAATAAATTTTGGTTGTGTGCTATTTTTCAGATATTAGGGTAGGGACAAAATAATTTAGCAGCTCAGAAGAAATTGCTTTTTCCCTCTTGTACATACTTTTTGTACTCTATATTACTTTTATATTTAGCTTCTGTTGGCTCATTGTGAAGAGAGATATTCTCCATGCTGCTCATTCACTTATGCCAGAGTGAATAAACATAAGCAGAAACAAAATCTGGCCCAATGTTGGCTAGAGGAAAAAAAAAAAAAAGAGGATAAATCGGTGCTTGTGGCTGCAAGGTGACTCACAATGACCAACACACTTAACTGTGGGTACTCCCTTGGCACAAAACCTTTGTCATCACTTAACAGGATAGGAAGAATAACACTGATCTTATTTCTTCCTCTTTGGCAAGCACTATTGCTGGGTTTGAACAGAACTTGAGTTACAGTACTGAGTGTACTACCGGGAAATCGGACCTGTAGCCTGAAACACAGCTGTGGTCAGGCAAGGGCTTCTGTAGAAATCAGTGTTCTGGTTTACGTGTCTTCTCCCTCGTGTATCTGACTCGCATATTCCTCTGCCGTACATGTGATGTGCTGAAGAAGCAACGAGTCATAATTCTCTTCTGTCGTTAACAAGGCGAATCACTAACCAAACTCTTTTTGTCAGAGCTTCTGTTTGGAAATGGCCCTTTGTTCTTTCAATTCTGCCAATGTGAGGTCTCTAAAACACACCATTCTGAAACAGAAATGAAAGCAGAGCTGCCACTGGTTACTCCACGGATCTGAAGTAGCAATTCTGATTCTAACAGGGCTGCACTCAGGCAGGCTTAGCCTCTTTAAAAAACTGTCTCTGGGGAAAAAAATGAAATAGTAGTCCTTTATCTTGGAAGACCATAGTAAAAATGCACATCTGAATAACAAAATGATACTTCAGGTTCAAAGCACACTACAAATGAGTGCTAATAACAACCCTCATTTTCCCAAGTATGTTGACAGCCAGACAGGTAGGGATGAGGAAATGGAATAAAAGAAAACCTCTAAAAATGTCTGCAGAAACGCCATTCCTTCACAATTTTAGCTAGATCTTGTCAAAATGCAATTGAATAGTGCAGCAGCACTTAGTCTCCTTTGAAGGAAGTCCTAACAACCTCCAGCTCATGTTTATGAAAAGTGGAAAGGTTTTGCAAAGTCCAGTTCAAATTTAAAGTGAAATAGCTATTCAAAGGGAGCAAAATGCCTTTGTTCTAATTAACCTGTGGAGGAATCCAATTTTTTTCTGACAGTAATAAAGTGCTCTTTCCTACCTATGTACATGTATGTATGTATGTATACATATATATACAGCTTTCATTTAAATTCGAAGTAAGGAAATATTTTCCTTTCCTGCATTTTCTCCACACTCCTTCTCCCCTCTCCCTCTTTGGTATGGGTTTTGCAGCCAGCAAGGAAGGATATTTTACTCACCTGTGCATCTCCTCTTGTTCAGAAGTGACTGACAGAGAATGACGAGTGTAAAAAGGAGAACACTGATGATTCCTATTGAGCACACAAACACTGCATACACATACAGATCTGAAAGGCAAGCACAGGGGAGGCTCAGTGCTGCAGCTGTATGTTTCATGCTTACAAGACAAAAAATGTTTCAGCCAACAAGACTGAAATAGAGCATGACCTGAAAGAATTAGAGTAACTGTTCAGAAGTAATTAACTCTCCTGAAATTTTCATACAATATCCTACTCAGCTTAAAATTTGGATGAAGTCTCCATGAACAGTAATAAGTGCATTGATGAGGGCTCGCTTTTGGGAAGAAGAGAGCTGGTTTGGTTTCTTTGTTTAATTTTCTTGTTGTAGTGGTGGTGGTTTGGTTTTGTTTTGGTTTTGGTGGGGCTAACAAAAAACAGAACAACTTCAGCTGGATTATTTCCCAGTTTAAACAGCTGTACTGATTTAAAAATAATTAAAAAAAAGAAAATACTGTTTAAAAGTGGCACTAGGGAGAGATGTGGGAGTGCTGAGTGAGGAAGAAGGAAGGAAGGAAGTCTGCAATTATTTTTTCGGTTGCAGTACTGGTTTGAAATTGTTGTCTATATGTTTTCTTTATTTTTCAATCTACAGCATCAGACTCCCTTTATGGCTTTCAGTCATTTTCCATAGCACATTCTCACCTGAAGGGCCAGGAGTTCTACCATGGCACATCAAGACAGAGTATTTTATTCAGAAGCAGAAGGCTTTGATGACTTATTCTGCTTTTACTAGAATTCTAAATAACACGCTTCAAGGATGCTTTACCCATTAATGTCTTCAAACTTTGCCATTAGCAAAGTATACTGGCTTCTTTCCTGCTTTACAGACAGGAAACCAAGCTTCAGAGGTCAAGTGTTATTGCAGAAAATAGCACTGCTGGAACAAGACCCCCTGACCTACAGCTCTGTGCTTTGTTTTCAGTGTATCCCCCATACACAGAACAATAGTGTCTGTAAGTTGCGGTTTAAACAGCAAGGCTCCCCATGGAATGGTGCGAGCAGAGACTGGTGTGCAGCAGAGCAGCATGGCTGTGAATACCGGGCTGCTGCATTGGTGTTGGCAGTGAGAGGAGGAGGAGGGAATCCCAGTTGAGTGTATGTTCTGGATTTCCAAATATCTTGGAGCAGATGTTTCATAATCTACGGAGAAAATACTGCTTGCCTTGAAACTCCAGGGAGCTTTAAGCATTTCTAAAGCCAGTGGGAACACACAGTGCTGAGTACCTCTTCAGACATGTCCAGCACCACTCTGAGTAAGGGTCTGCATTTGTATTTCACAATGAGCCAGGCATAGAATATTCCAGTGTTGACTGTAATAAAAGTATAAGGAACTGGAACCTTCCATTCTCATTTTTCTAGCAGCTGGTACTCTCTGGGATGCCTTCTGAGGCACAGCCTGAGTTTGTACAGTGTGCAAAATCAGGCCCAATGGGAGCATTTCAGCTGTATTGCAGTGTTGGGCCACACTAACATCTTGTATGCAACCAGCAGCAGTTAGATGCATCTTTACCTTCAAAAAACTTCCAAGCTTCATGTTTTTTCTTGTAAGTGGGATCATCAGAAGTTTTTGATGAAATCACTGGAAAAAAAAAAAAACAACAGAGGACATAACAAGAAGTAAAAATACAAAGCATAAGGTGTTGGGACTGCTTGGAGTAAAGTCTGTTTTGCCTCACATGTCAGTGCACCAGATAGTAATTTAACTCACAGGCTAATTAACTTTCAATGAAAATCTTCAATTATAAAATAGTGTTATTGAAATATCTCCTATCAAATCTCATATGGTTTGGTAGCCCCAACAAGGGCTACATGGCTTGTGAGATGGGATTCCTTCCCATCTCACAATCACAAACAGATCACTCTGTCATCTTATGCTGTAAAGATGCAGCATGTGGCTCTTCAATCAGAAGTTAAATGCAGTGAAGGGGAAAGAAACACAGCTTTAAAGAGCCTAGATTTTAGAACAGTGGTGGCTACAGACTTGTAAGATCTGTAATGGCTTTGTGAGGGTGGTCTGAGTATGCCAGGGAAGGAGCTGCCATTAAAATTGTATGTGGCTATTTTTATTCCCACTCTCTGTTCTCAGTTACCCAGAACTACTACCTCTAGGGCTATAATTTGTGTGTCCATCCCAAAACAGGCTACTTCTCAGAAAGGAATTGAACAATTTTTGTTCAAAAGAGTAGGAATTTGTTTTATTTAAGAAAGCTTCCTAATGTTGTAGTCCATCTCTAAAGGGAAAAACAAAAACAAACTGGAAGAGTGACAGCTTTACTGAAGGGCACAACTCTGAATATTTCCTGAGTACTGACTTCTAGCAAGACACATTAGGCACAGGTTTTTTTTAAAAACAGGAAAGTCACTCTGACAATGCTTGGCACTGAAGTGATCTCTGCAAACACACTAGCGACTTTCCAGCCACAGGAATGACTTTCCAGACCTTTGATTTTTGCCCAGCTTCCTTATTTCTCATGGATGTCCTTTGACAGATCGTCTCTTCCCTGCAATTCCTACAACAGCACCCAAATAATCCATCAAAGTGAGATGCTGCTTGTGAGTTCTTTCTTTTCCTGCTTCACTCAAAAGTTGGCTTCTGTATCCCACCTTTTAGAGATACACAGATAGGATACTTGTATATCCGAGCTGGGAAGCAGAACACTTCTTCATACTCAGTGTTCTTGGCTTAGCAGCAGAAACACACTAGGTTAAACACTATAACTATATAAAGGGCTCTGTCACTGCCATATCAAAGACCTTTGCCTGCTGAGAGCAAAATAGTTTATGTTCTTCTCTGTAGAAACTCCTGTGCCTGTATTGTGGAGTTTTCCTGACATGTGAGAAGAAAGTTTGCATGCACGCAAGTCATACTAACTCAATTTTATAGTCTAGAGAAAGGGCTGACTGAATGGCTGTGTTCTAATGCAGGTAACAGGGAAAACGGCAGCAGGTTCTGCACAGACTTGTTCTCTCTGAAAGAGAAGCAGAACTGCAGAGCTCTGGGCAAAAGGATGAATGTCAGTGTCATAACAACTGTACAACCCAGTTCTAGAATCCAAATGCTCTGACTGCTGGATCACCGTCCAAACCCCTCTCTGCTCTCTTCAGCCTGACTGTTTATGCATGCTGATTTTTTTTAATGACATCAGATTAGATGATCTCATTTATGTTAATCCATGAATTCTTCTGTTATCCATCCTTCTAATACAATAGGAGTATGGTGATGTCCTTCAGGTTGCATCCAGGAGCAGTTCACAGGGCAAATCACTACAGAAAAGTATTCTACTGGAAAGGAAGTTAGTTAAGGTGTGTCCTGCAGGACTGTGATGTGTGGGGCCAACTCAGTGAAAATGGAACTACTTTCAGGTCTGATGAAATCTACTGTTTAGTTATGATTGTAAGCTCATCCAGAATATTTATTTTACATGTCTACTCAGCATCACATCAGTAGATTTTTGGCAAGCATTTTAGAATACATGCACTGGAAAATGGTCTTCTGTTCGTTTTGGGGAAAAAAAAGGAAGTCTTGCATTCTTTTATTTTGCAACATTTTTACTTGGAGAAAGCATCACAAGCTACTAATATTCAAAAGAATTCAGGATCTGTCCTATAGGAAACTCACACACAAACTTTCCAACAAGACAGATTGTTGTGATCAAATCTTCTTGTTTGTGTTGTGCATGCCAACAGGATTTTAGTTGAACTGTCTAATTTCCTACTTGTCCTTCAACAGTCTCATCTCTTGGATCATAAACCACTTGAAATACATACTGCTCTTCCTAAGCCATGTGCAGCACTTGGTACAATGTACTTGAGGGATTACCCGACTGTAAATGACAGAGGGTGCTGCATATTGTTCTGGAAGCTACTCATTGTTCCGAGATTTCTCATAGGAAGGTGTTTACAATGGCTTTTTTTTTTTTTCCTCAAATAAACTCTTTTTTTTTTTTTTCTTTTTTCTTTTTTTTTTCTGGTGTTTTCTGTACTACAGTGAATATTACTAACTTGTTTTCAGGCTAATATTGACCAGATAAGACCAGGAAAAGAACAGATTCCCTGAACGAGAAGATGGGCAAAGGGGAAAAGGTCCACCCACCATAGTTTGGATTTAATATGTTGCATGGCTGGAGTAGGAGACACTTCTTGGTAACGCGAGGATGTGGATTTCTGTGGGGTTTACTACCAGGGCTTAATGGTTCATTTACGTAAATTGTTTGTTATCTTATTGTCAATACACCTAAAGGGGCAAACTCAAATGAGGCATCTTGTCTGAAAAATGTATTCAGGTCCTGAAGAAGAAGGTAGATATGTAACATATTTTCACTGACACCACTAAACAATAAGGAGCTATATAGCCTGTAACTCAGCTTTTTTCTTCACAACTCCAATGCGTTTGTTCACAAAGAATTATGTTGCAAGAAAATACATTTGCAACTTCTTTATGTACTTATACAAATTCAAACTAGCAAACAACAAAATGTGCATATGAATAAACAGCATTAGATACAACAGTCCCAGGCTTAATCCGTCAAGCTATTTTACTTGGGATGGTGCTACCTTTGTGACTGATAAGAGCTCTGTGATGAACTGCCCTGGGCTTTTTCTGCTTTTGAAGATGCAGAAAGACTCTTCCTTCTGTGTTCCTCCTGCAGTTTTCTGTCTTATGCAGTGACCTCTTCTTCCTCTGTGAACCAAGTGAGCAATATAAATGGTATTTTTGCGTCCACTTGATGTGCAAGCTTGTATGAAATTTACAGGTGCTTTAGCAAAAAGATGTCATATTGAATTAGTGCATAATACAGCCACATTAAATGGAACAGAATGGTTGAAAAGACAGTAACTGTAATGTCTTTGAACACTGTTACCTTTGTTGATACAGCACAAGCAGTGCAATTGAAGTATCCAAGTGCTTTAGGCAGTTTGTATTGCTCCTTTTGCTCTATCTTGGGTCTAGCTGTAATATAACTAAATCCCTCTGCAATAGAAAGTGTAACTGATTATAGTATAAAATACAAAATGCGTTTGGAAGAAAATTTCCCTGAAAACCTCAAGCGCTACCGCTGGGGAAACTGGAGATTTCATCACCACTCTGGAAAGCTGCCTTCCCTCCTGTGTGTAGCAAATCCTGTATAATCAGTGTGTTATCTGAATACTAGGACCCAAAGGTCCCCCTTCCTACCAGTTCCTTCACAACAGTGGTTGAATCTCTCATTTTAGCCAAATATGGAGGGGTAAAGGAGGAAGAGAGAGGGAGAGGAGGATGAGGAGGAGTGCCAGTTCCTAGGCAAGAGCAGGAGCAGCAGGGAAGAATAACTGCTGAGTGATAAGCAAGCTAATGCCTGAAGTCTGTAGAGCTAAATCACACATACAATAAAGTTTAATTTCATATCCCTGCATAGTTGTGAGACTAACAACTGTGCCTTGGCTCCAGCCACCCAACATGGGGCCAGTGCTCGTGAAATTTAATGATCTCCAACGATGCAATATGGCTGAACTCAGGAGATGCTGGGCTCCAGCATTTTTACTCCTCTCCACTTAAAAACAAAAGTGTGAAAGCAACAACAAAAATCAAGGACGAAACTGGTCATTCTTTCAACTGTGGAGTTAATGAATCCTCTATGAAGTTAATGTATCCTTGTCCCGTCTCCTAATGACTCCTCTGTCAGCTATAACTTTAGTACTGGGCACTTTCTCCTGTGGTATGTCCAGGAGCCCAAGTCACTGACATGGAGGGTCCCTGGGCACCTGCAAGTCAAGAACAAGTTACTTGTTTTACACTTGTAACTTTCCTTCAATGAAGGAAAAGTTCTGCAGACCCAGTAACAAAATTAGTTCAGTTTTTTTGTTGTTGTTGTTTAAAATTGATCCAAGTCTTTGTTACTAAAACAGAGTTTCAGCTTTGGATTGTTAGCGTCTTTTATCACTGCTAAAATCAACATAAAAAATCAACTAGTTATGTTATGTTAATGCCGTGATTCCTTAAGGCAGATTTAAACATTGCTGATCAAAGTGAAGACATTATTTATCTCTTTTTTTTTCAACACTGTTTCTCTTGTCCTTCCCATAGATTATAAATCCTATGAGACCTGAGTGCTCCCCATAGGAGATCACACACTCACAAAGATTATTTTTTACTGTTTTACTTGTCCTCCTGCTGTGTGTATAATCCAAAAAGGGATAGAGAAACATGAATGATGCCAATGAAGTTGGTACGGAGGAAATGTGCTTTGAATTTAGTCTACCAGTGTAGACTCTACATAAATGTGCTTGAATCTGTCTGGAAAAACCTGTCCTTAGTGGGGCTCTCTCAAAGGAAAATTGTTTTCAGAAGAGAGTTAGGGCCATTTTCTCCAAAACTCTAGTTAGATAAATGGGATTAGGTTTTCTCAGTTACAGAAATAACGTGTGGTCTAAACAAAGCAGTAAACTTAGCATCAGCATTAACAGCAAAAACTTCACAGAACACTATCTTCTGCTACAAGTTTTTGTCTGATTGCTCAATTAACCTCTTGAATACCCAGGCCTATAGACCAAGCAGTCCCACTTGATTTTTAGTGTTATCTTCAGAGCTGGCTCTGTGTGAAATCAGCTTTTCTGTCTGTAAAACCACAAGAGAGGGCTTGTTTGCCAGCTAGCCCTAACAATACAACTGCTGACTCTACAAAGGAGTCTGTTCTTCAACATCCAGTTTCACCCACCTCTGAAAGCTCAGATCAGGTGGTGTTAGCTTTGAGATAAACCACCCCAAATAAAAGGCTTGTTTTCAAGTTGAGATCTGTAGTTCAAAATCCTCACTTGTTGCTGACCATAACTTTATCTGAAGTTCAATACAAGCAGGCTGGTTACTTCTTTTCTAGCTCTGTTTTCTGTCTATAAATGGTATAATGATGCTAGAAATGCTCCTTGCAAACTGCTTCTAGACTGGAACTAAACGCAATGAACGTACCGAGAGGGACAAAACATAGACCTAAAATACACAGCTTCTATCTCTGTCTCGACTCCCTGTGTATTCATTTGAAAATAAGTTAATTTCTCTCTATTTTATTTTGTATTTAAATAATAATGACAGTTGTTCATTCTCACTTGCAAAGTTACAGAGACCTGTACATGAGTATAAAAGAGTTTGAATTGCTTCTGTTTTGGCAAAACGCAAGGGAAATAAACTGTTTTCAACTAATCTACTAATTTCAACTCTTTACTTTCTACTACATTCTGCATAATGTTTAAATTATTATGTGCAAGTAAGGAAGCAGAGTATTTGATTTTTCTTCTCATAGTCTCAAATAACACTAAAAAATCACTTCAAATGTCTTATGAATGAACTTGATAGAGAGGAAAGGAGGGATCATGGGACAAGGAAAACTGTAGCACTGTAATTGATGATTTCTCACCTCTTATTTCAGTAGCTGCTGTACCATTTGACCAGGCTGTCCACTTATTCCTGTGTTTTCCAATTTCCTGAACTTTACATATATAATGTCCTTGATCTGTTTGCTGGAGGCTTAGAATAAGAAATTTGTACATAGTTCCATGTTTTTCTTTAAGAAGACGAAGTCTTTGCTTATGGAAATGATGAGTATAATTCCCATAATACTGGACAGACCCAAATTTGGTCATTTTGATCATCAGATACTCCTGGGTGGGTGACACAGCAAAGACCCACCGCACAGCCAGCAAATTGTCCATCTTTCTCTTTTGAGAAATGTGGCAGTAAAGGGTAGCATTATCTCCCTCAGAGTACCGCACTGTTGGTCCTGGAGAAACCGTCACATTTAAAGCCTCACAAACATCTGCAAAGGAAAAAGAGACGGTGAGAATCCCATGGAGGCAGAGCAGCACCATAATCTCTCAGCACACAAGTCCACATCAGGTAAACTGATAGCATCATCAGTTCAGTGTGCAGCAACTCAGTGAGCTTCTAGAATCTGATGTATTCTGAGAGATGGCAAGAGGACCTCCTTCAGTGAGTCTGCTCCAATATTCTTGTGTTCACTTATGAGACAGGGCTGAAGTAGACACTTTGGTGCTTTTACAGGCTCCCAATCACCCAAGGCTTTCGACAAGCCTTGTCTGAAGCTAGCTTGGAGCAAGAGCCCACAATATCCTTTGGCAATCTGTTCCATAACCAGCTTTTCTGGCAACATGCATCCTGCTGAGAATTTCCAAGCTAATTTGTTTTAATAGCCAGTTTATGTTCCTGTGCCAACTTTGTCTTTTAAGTTTAAATGCCATTTACTTCTTGACTCCAAATATCTAGTCTCTCAGCCTTCCCTTTATTGAACCAAAGAAGCAGAGTTCTGTTAGTCTCTTACAAAGAAATGTTTCCCTTCCCTATCCACTTCCCTACTGAGTTAGTAACTTTCTGTGCTCTGGTTCCAGTTTCAATTTTGGTTTTATTGTGACGTTCTTGTTGCTATTGTTGCTCTCTAATGTTCTGTGAAATAGCCAGTGTACACCCCAGGTGATTAGAAATACCTTGCATGTGTATCCCAGAACAATGTTGACCTTTTTCATTATATTTTGAGATTGATGGTTCATATTTAGGCAGAATAGAATGTTTTCCTTCCTTTGTCATTTGTGGTTCAATTCCTAGTTTATCCAAGAAATTCCCCAAGTGCATGACTATCTTACTAAATTCTGCTCCACTTTTGTTTCTTGTTCCTCAGTCTTTCCTTCATGGTACTCCAATCATACAGTGACTTCATAAAGTCACAAGCAATGTGTACTTGTTTCTTTCTTTTGGACATTAGTTGTGCAAACTTTACACAATACTGTTTCTTAGATGGGTCACTGAAAGACTAGTAACCTCCCGTTATGTCAGTAAGTTCTCATATATGAGTAACTCCTCTCTTTAGAGTTCCTTATGTCCTCTGTTTTAACTAATGCTCTTCTTGTCATAACCTAATGATCATCTGGATTAAATTTTTCAGATCTCCTTCTGACTGCAAATTTGATTTAATGACATTACTTGCATGACAAAATGTGACATGTGGTTATATTGAGACAGACAGTTGTTCCATTTTCCCATTAATTTCTGACTCATGTTCTTCTGTTTGTCATCACGAGCCTAGCTCAGACCAGTTGTTTCTCTCCTTTCTTTCTGCCAATAGTCCACATAGGTGAAGGTTAAAAGACATCCATAGCTGTTCATTAGCAGATTTTTATTTCCTGACCCTACTTATTCATGCTTAACCTCTTTTCTGAGGCATGGATTAAACATTCATTCTATTTCCTTCTCAATGTATGTTAAGAATGTATGTCTATTAGTCATATCACAGACTGATCTATTTTTACCAGTTGCATATTGTGGCATTGTGTTCCCTAAATTATTTTTCTGATAGCATCCACTAGAGAGAAAAAACATATTTTAACAGGGAGTAATGTACACTCCATGCAGTACACTCTGAGAAGCATGAAACATCCTCTAAGATATGAACATTAAGCTTCCAGTTATGTACTGAAATGTTAATGAGAACTGCAACTCTGGGAGATGGATTTTTTTAATTTCTGGACACTTTGCTAGCACTCAGCTAGGAACATTTTAACAAAGGGGATGAGCATTTTGGCAGACTCCTGGTTGACATCAGCTCCTGAAACACAAACATGTATTTATCCTCAAAATAAGCAAGTACTTCCATCTACTTCTGAAAGAGCATTGGAGTCAAAGACTTTGTGGCCCCTGAGAAGCTCTGAGGTGCAGAGATTAAATGTATCAATTTACTTAAATCCTCTGAATTAAAAAAGTTATATTGTGACTGTTTGAGAAAAGAACCTTCTACAAGTTAATAGTATTATTCTTTGGGGTTGTTTGTTTTAATAGAAAGCATTACTGATGGGTGTATTTTTTAAGATAGACGCTGCAGAATAGGCATCTTAGCCACATAGACTCTGTGAAAGAAAAAAAGTCGTATGATGAAAGTTGTATGTTATTTTTTTAAAATTCTTTAAGAAAAAGAAAGCTAAGCATGATTTAAATTACTGCTGTAACTATCTGTGTGTGAAGCTTGTGTATGCAATTAATGTGAGCTCCAAATCAAGAGATAATTTATACAAAGCACACAGGAAGAATGGGATGTTGAAATTTAAAACGAAGTCTGAAAACCACCACAGATTTCCAGGCATAAACCTTGACTTATTGCATGCTGGAGTTACAGGACCTTGGTGCTTTGTAGGCAGAAGTGAAAATAAGGTGGCTGCCTCTGCCAGCAAAATGACATTCCATTTTTGAAGATTGTGCTGCTCAGGAAACAAGTTCAGAAGTATAGAATTTTTTGAAGTTGCTTATAATTGCACTGCAGAAGTTTAAGAAATCAATTATAAAAATGTGGTTTGGGTAAATGCAAAACACAAGATTTTTCTACTGAAATTATGGATGTGTCATGAAAAACTGTAAAGGAAAACAATTATGTCACTTTCCTGATATGTGAACTTCTTGTTTGAGAAAGCTGGCTAGGATTAATTGTAGAATATTATCCCTAAATAAAAAGCAAAAGAATCGTTGCTTAATTTGAAACTAGGCAGAACACACTGCCAAAAAGTACTCCAGAGAAAATACAGAGGAATTCAGATATAGTGATGATGGAAGCCTCTGTGAGAAGATAAAGAAGCATTGTATGTGGCAGCTCTGATCCCTTTCTAGCTCTTTAAACCCACACAAACATTGGTATTTTATACATAGGGTTTCTACTTTTCCTCAGGAGATGTGCCCTTTTGTGAGGAAGTATCAAATTTTACCTCATCTTTCAAGTAGCAAAGCTCATCTGCTGCAAAGGCCAGTTGCTTGAAGGTTTGTATGATCAGGGGAAACATATCTTTCTTCTGTAACTATCGATGTAGCAAAGGGAAGAGCTTTCAGAATTTCTGATGCTTTCTCTGTGACCTTTTCTCATTTTACACTGAGCAGAGTCAGGTGATGCTTGATACAAAACAGGAAAACTATCCATTGGACTCTATCCTCCCCCGCTGGAGGTGGAACAGTGGTGAATGGTTGGAGGAAAGAAGTCATTTACCTCTCATGTGGAAAGGAAAAGCCTTGTTCAGGGCTCCCACGCACTTGTGGAAGTTTGTTCTGTCTTTAACTGCTGCTGAATCAGCCCCAACATGAGGTTTGTCCTAGTAGTGGGTTCTGTGCCAAGACAGGAGACTCCTCCACCACTTGAGAGCAGGCTTCTGTGCCAATGCAGCACTGACTTCCTAGACTTCAGATTCCTGCTTTAAGTGAAGAATCGCTGTCTTTCTGCCTTCCCAACATAGCATGAGTTTAGTCCTACTTCTACTTGAGAAGGGAAACTACTTATAGAAAGGGAAGGAGAGTGGGTCAAACCTTGAGGATTCCTTTAAATATCTCTCTCCTATCAGCAACCAGCTCACTTAGTTGCCCCCATTCCAGTGTTTTAACTGTTTCTTTGGTACCTTCCATCTGCTTGTCTCACCACAGTCACAGAAGTGTAGCACTTAACTTAAATCCCATTTTGAAAAACCCTATTCTGAAAGTATTAGCTAGATTTGGACTTTGTTATTTGCCATATTTCTTAGCAAAATACATTCATGGCACTGTCAGGAGTAAGGAGCTACCAGTTTAGCAGCTAGAAATCTGTACGTGCCAGGGCTGTCCTCACAGTCTGTGCTGGAACAGCAGCAGACCAACAGTCACGTAGGCTGCATGCTCGCTGGAAAACCCCAGCTCCTTCATTAGAGATGCTCACATGAGGGGCTGTTCCTGGACACTACTGCACCCTACCTGGATTTAGCATTATTAGCGTTACATAGGTTCCTCCTAATACTCCTTTTTCCATGGACACTAATAGGCAGAATCTACAACCCGGCCTTCAGGGCTATGAGGACTTTTTCCTCAGCCCCTGCTGATATGTAGGGGACTACAGAGGCCTGCCATGAGGTTAGCTGCCTTCTCATCTTGGATTTGCGTGACCAGAGTCAGGTGGGGTGGCTTCTATTTGCCCTACCATTTGTTCTGCGAAGTGATATTACTGTCCAAGCTTGCTTTATTTTGGTTTCTATTAAGTAGTAAGAAGAGCAGATGAGCCAGGAAGAAGCAAAGCTCTTTGTTTAAATGAAAATAATTAGGAGCTGGCTAGAAAGTTCACCAAAAGGAACCAGCTGTTTTCAGTTGAATGGCTGTATCTGCAAGTTTCTCAAGTCAGAGGCTCCTTCTCTAGCAGTGCTTCTGCAGTGACTGAACTTGAACTGAACTTTTGCCTCTGCCATCTCCTGTCCAAGGCAGAAATCCCAAATCCAACTCTTATCACTATTGAATGAGAGAGATTTCCTCACCCTACTCATCCCCACTGTGCCCTGAAGTTCTGATCCAGAATCGTGCCCATTTTTACAGCTTCAGAACATAACCTTAGCCAAGACACATTAGATTTTGGAAGCATAAGGCTTGAGCAGAGGGTTGTTTTTAATAACAAGAGATCTGGGAGTTCTAGTCGTCTTTGCCTCAACTTTGTTTGCAGTTGTACGAACGCAGTCCCGCCCGACAAATGAGGCGGTGGAGAAAGCTTTTCCAGCAGCTGCTGTACAGGCGTGGGGTTTCGCTCTGAACCCACGGCTGCGGGCGCTGCTGCCCCGGCGATGCGGGAGCAGCGGACGGGGGCGGCGGGTCCCGTCCTTTCCCTCTGTGCCGAGGCACCCGCCGTGCCGTGCCGGGCTCCTGCCCGCTCCCCCAGACCGGGCGCTGCCCAGACCCTTCCCGGACCCCACGGCGCCGGGGTCCCGCAGCGGCAGGAGGGAGGGGCTGCTGGCGTTGCCGCTTACCTGGGGCCGGGGCCGAGGCCAGCAGGGCGGCCAGCGCCGTGGCCAGGAGACGCATGGCCGGTGGGGCGCCGTGTCCTGTCCCTTTCCTCTCCGCCGAGCTGGCTGCCTCCTCTCCTCCCCGGCCTTTCGCCTCCTCTCCGGCCGATCTTTCCTTCTCCCCTTGTCTTTCATCTCCTCCCCTTTCTCCTCCTTTTTTTCCGCTTTCTCCCTACCCTCCCTACTTGTTCGCTCTTCCCACCGTCCGGCCCCCTCCGGAACTCCCCTCCTCTTTTCCTCTTCTTATTCCCTTTTCCTTCCTACATGCCGAGCCCGCTGGGATGGCAAAGTATTAGTTGGGGCTGCGCTGTCTGCAGGCTTGGCAGTCCCTCCAAGCACGCACAACCTGCCCAAAGGACGTGGATCTGTGCAGACAGCAAGTGGGATGCTCCCCTTTCCATGCACAGAAAGCCTTTTTGTGAACAAGTGAGAGAACTTGTCATGGGACAGGGACAGCATCCTCCACTTTCCTGGAGGTGTTTGAAATTTTGCAGGCTCTGATTCCCATTCCTCATGCCCGCTAATCTGCTGGAGCAGAACTGTTGTTTCCGGGAGATTCCAGTTAACAGCCAACCCCTAATTCAGGGGCTTTGCTGGTGGCAGCCTGGGGATGAGGAATAGCCTTCAACAGGTATGGGTGGGGATGGATGCTAGAGGCTGTTTGCGCACCTGTGCTACGACATCACAACTGGTGCTCTGGTGATGCAGCAGCTTGAGATGCATCACTCCAAGAGTACCATGCTTATTTTGCCAAACGGTGCAACGTTCTAGGCAATAAGGAACCATTCAACCTAATACCTTTGTGAAGATACTCCAAAGGCGCTGACCAAATGCGTTTCTGGGCTCCTATACACAGCTATCACCACCTATAGCTGCTTGGTAGCTCTGTTCCAGGCCATATAGCGATAACTTTGGTAGAAAGGGATGTTTTCTTGCCTCAGCCTGTGTGCAGTCTAATAATCCATCCTGTACCTCAGTGAGGATGGCATTCACAGTGAATGAGGCTTTGGTGATACTGTAGTCTCGTAAAGACCTGAAATCAACAAGAAAAATGTTTGCTAAAGGTTGCTGGTCACCATCTTGACTGGTATCGGAGGGCAGGAGTTAACTGTTTTTGCTTTAAAGGTCTGTCCAGAATTTGTCCCAAAGAAGACAGAAAGTGAGGGCTGCTGTTCTACATCACTTGGAGGAGCTGTTTTGGTACATTTGACACTGCCAGCTGCTTTCTGTGTGAGGAAGGCTTGAGTTGTACTGAGGGGCTGTAAACTTAAGAGTTTGGGGTCTCTTAATGGGGAGACTGAAATGGCACTGGTGGGCAGGGGAGCAGCTGAACTGCTAAATCATTGTGCTGTGGCTGAAGATGGAGCATGATTACCACTTCCTTAATTATCCTAATCAGCGCTTTCATTCTGTGATGGTTTCTGCATGGCACAAGGTGTACAACTCTGTTAGGGATGCTGGTACTTGGCAGCCTCCCCCTGCCATTCCCCTTTGTCTCTTTTGATGATTATCATTTGAAAGCCCACAAATCTCCAGAGACAGGGACTTAATTCTTCTATCAACAGCCATGATGGATCGTATCTGGTTTTAGTATTCATCTTGTGTGAATTGTGGATGATACAAACATATTGGCAGTCCTACTTGCATGGATAGAGCAATTAATAAGAATTTAGTTGCTCCACCTCTCTCCTAGGAATCCCTGAGGCAGAATAGTACGTCTCCTTTTATGCTCACAGAAAAATCAGCACATACTTCATTTGATCTTTATGAGGCTGAACATTTCCTTTAATAGATGTGGAAGGAGGGAACTGTAGGTTCAAATCTACTTCTTTAACTCAGAAAAGGAAAATCCTATCAAATAGAGAAACTAATTTAAAAAGAAGTGAGCAAATTCACAAAAAGCTGCACCAGCAGTTACTTATTTTGATAGTCCTAATGGAAGATCTAGTTGTGGACATCCCTGGAATGCTGACTGAAAGGTGAATTAGGGATGACTGATTTTCCATGCTCTTTACCAAAGCATCTGCTGTATGCCCTTGTTGCAAGAAAACTACTGGCTTGAATGGGCTTTCTAGCACTTCTTATATTGTTCTGCTTGTCATACTTCACCCCACATCGTAAATTCCTTCAGTCTACAAATCTTTTAAGGGTGTATACAAAATACTGATGTAAAGACACCAACAAGGTATACCTAAGCTCTCCTATGGATACCTGAGCCTAGGTAGCCTAAAAGTGCACTGTGAGAATCAGCCTCAATCAATATCTGTCTTTCTGCAACCACCCATTATCAGTGGCGCTAGATTCTTCTAATTGCATCAAGAACCCTAATGAGCTGAGAGATGAGCTGCATCAGTGGGTGAGGAGACCTACTGTAATGAGTTTGCCTGTGGTTCAACATAGGCAGAAGTCAGAGGCCCACCTGGGCTTCTCCAGTCTTACATGCCTGCGAGCTCACTGAAATGTGTTCCCTCTGTTTTGCAGCTTGCATTCTCTGGATGTGTGTTGTGGTATTTCTGTATTGAGTAGAGCATTTAGTTGGTTTCTCCTCCTCTGACACACTTTTGTTAATATAACAGCATGAGAAGTGCTCCTTATTCTTAAAGAGCTGTTTCTTTTAAATTTCTGAAAGCACTTTTAGAAGTGGTTCAAGTTGAAACTCTTTTCTACTTGTCATGACTTAAAGAAATGTAGGTAATGCTGACATTGTATGTCTTTTACCAAGAGTGAGCTTTGGTCAGCTGGAAGCAGGACCTGTGAGCCTCTCTGTTGCCACTGATGTGCATTTCAGATGCATCTGTTGGGCAGTGTAGCACTTTACATACTTAATAAGCCTATTACCATTGTTTTTGGATGTACTTCTGGGCAAGACAGCACTAGTCAGGCTGGCAAATAATGAGGAAACACAGACCATTGCCCCCACCATCTTCTCAGATTTGCTGCTGACTTCTGGGATGCTTTGACTCAAGTTGGCCCCAGCTCTGGGCTGCAGTTGGGTGATCTGTGAACTTCTTCTGACTGGATTGGAAGGGGCTGTGAAGGGACTGTAAATACTTTGGCAGCTTGGATGAAAGGCTGCAACTGTATGGTTTGCATTATTTCACTGCTAAAGTCTTTCACTCCTTCAACTCATTATGCTGCATTGTAAAACTTACTCTTCTGCTTTTATAAAATGTTTTCTCCAGATTGTCCGTGCTGCTGACCTGATAGGGTCACAATCTGTGCACCAGAGATCTCAGAGGCCTCAGGAATGTGCAGTGTAATTCCTGCAGGGCTGTGTCAGCCCATGCACCTTCCCAGCTCTGCTGGACATGTGCTGACACAGGCAAGCAGGGCCTCTGCCCCACAGGATACTGCTTCCTCAGCGATGCAACCCAGTTTCCTGTCAGGACAGGCCTGCTGGGAGGAGGAAAGTGCCTGCTCAGCACTCTGGAGCAGCTGATGCAGGTCATGGCTACTCTTCTCATGGAGCCTAGAGCCCTCTGCCAATGGAGCAGAGTTGGTGGGGGCTCATGCTTGAGGTGAGCTCTGCTGGGCAAGTTGCTCCTCCATGCATAGCCACAGTCAGGGGACGTAGCCACAGCCTCCTGCTTTCTACCATCCCATAGATTTTGCAAACATGCCCATTCTCTGCCTCCCACACCTCATGCATGATGCTCCCTGCCTGCCCAAACCTTCCAGTGAAGGCAGTTACAGCCAGTTCTTAAGAATCTAGCAGCAGGTAAGTCCATGGCCCAGGGAATCCTAATTACAAATGAATGTTTAGTGATTAGAGATGGAGAAAATCCAGACCTGTTCAGTGTTGCCAAGTATGGAGGGAACTTGGACCTGAATCCAGATTTTCCCATCCCTTTAATGGGCAAAGTTAACTTTAGATTTTAACAGTCCAAAGCTGTAGAATAACTTTGCCTGGGATTAATTCTACCCTGGTACTTTTCCCTGGCTATGTTGTAGGCTGGTGTTTGGGAAATACAGTTTTGGTTCGCAGCTGTTGGTGTGCATGGACAATACAGACACTGCATAAGGACTTTAACTTCCCCCTTCTCTTTTGGATTATGAGTGCTGCTGATGTACCTGGGCAGGATCTGATAGTTTTGTGGGATGTTTCATGGATAAATGAAATCCTATTCGGAGAACTGATGCTGCAACAAGTTACTCAAAGCCCCATCCAGCCAAGCATTCAAGGCCAGGGTGAACGAGCTTTGATCAACCTGGTCTATTGGGAGACCAAAGTTCCAACCTGGGTGGTTGGAACTAGATGATCTTAAAGGTCCCTTCCAACCCCACCAATTCTATGATTCTATGATTTTTCCATTTTATCTTTCTTTAAATGAGAGTACATTACTGAGTCCGGGAAACTTGCTTCTGCTACTACTTTTATGATTGATTGCATTTGGGTTTGCATAAGAAGAGAGGATATTTATTACGGGTTTTTCAGGTCTTGTTTTAAGTTTGATCATAACAATTTGAAGGGCACTGCTAAACCTGCAAAAATGAGATTTGTGGATGTTTCACAAGTGCTAAGAGCTTCCATCATATGAGACAGCCTCTGTATTTTCTACTTCTTCACAGGTAAGCAAGTTGCTGAAATCTGACTTAGTCTTATTGTGTCTTACTATGCATCATCATGAGCAAAGGCATAATCTTGGCTTCATATAGCAGTAGACAGCAGTGTCATTAAGGCTCCCTAAGAAAATCTGTTGCAGTTCCATCTCTGTACTCTAAATATATGAAAATGCAGATGTTAGCTGTCCTTATTTCTGGCAGTAGGTGAGCACATGTCATGCTAAGATAGATTTCAGAGCCTCTTCAGTACATTAATAGGTTTTGGCTACGCACTCATTAGGCATGTGTCCCAGCTAAAACATTCTTCCTGCTTTTCTCCAAACTGCCCACTGGGATCCTGCTCATCCCAGTTTGCCTGGCTTCAAGAGGTGCAGACTCCAGAGCTGCATGGTGAGAGTTTTGGTTCACCTGCCTCCCCAGTAAGTGACGTGACTGAGTCTGGTGGAGTGTGACCTGGTATGTCGGTGATATCTGCTGCCTCATGGGATTTGCTCTGTGCCTTCTGCACACCCTGTGCTAGCAACATTGGATCTTTACTCTAAGAGATGTCTTGTGACCGCTTTATCACATGGAAGGGGGTAAGAAGGGCTCTCACAGTACAGAGCAGTGTTCCAC